TCCAGCGAGCAGCGAGGCGATAGTGGTACTGAGATGATAATGATAGACGAGCGGGGGGGCATGGAGATATGGGGTTGGACTTGGCGCATGTGAACCGGGCATAGACGAGACGACGACTGATGGGAGTGCGAGTGAAGATGACACGCCATTACCGAATCAACTTCCCATAATCCAGCCTACTCTCCCTCTGCCTCTCATTCTTCTCCTTCTTAGGGAACGCATTCCAGAACCGCAACGTCTCGTCCCCAGCACCCGTCACGATCGTCTCTCCGTCCGGGCTCATGGCAAGGTACAACACACGGTTGGTATGACCCGTGAGCGAGGCCACCATATTCAACGTCGGATACTTCCATATACAAATCTGGTTCTGCGCAGTAGTGCTCGAGAACCCGTGTGTCGAAACGAGCTCATGCGACGTCAACGACCAAATGAGGTTGCACACCTACCATTCCCCCAACATCAGATACACCAACCCAGAAAACCAGGGAAAAGAAAAAACGCACCTGACTCCCCGTATCAAGCTCATTAAGCATCGTCCCATTAATCGTATTCCAAAACCGTATATGCTTATCCTGCGTCCCCCCACCCGTCGCCAACACCCCCGACACATGCGGATCCCACGCCAGCGCCTTCACCGCCGCCGTATGCTCATGAAACTTCCACAACGGCGCATCCCCCGGCCCATCGTCCCCACTCGTCGCACCCGCACCAGCCACCGGTCTCCCCGCCGCCGCCCGCCTCGACCCGCGAAGGTCCCATATACACACCTTATTGTCGTTCCCACCGCTCGCGAGGTTCGCGGCCCCTGGGCCGCCGTCCCCGCTCCATTTGAGCCCACACACCTCTTGGCGGTGGCCTGTGCAGCGCTTGAAGGGGCGTACGGCGGCTTCGCGCACGTCGCGGTGGTGCACCGTGCGGTCGCGCGAGCCTGAGGAGAGGACGTGGGCGTTCCATGCGAGGGCGCCGATGCGTTGGGAATGTGCGGCTTGGTAGGTGCGTTGCAGCTGGAGCGTGTTGGCGTCGTAGATGTGGAGGCGCCCGGCGAGTGTGCCGACAGCGAGCGTTGTTCCCTAAATAAAGTAATTGTCAGATCAGGTTGTTGTACTTGTGATTGGGCCTGAATTGGGGGTGGGAGAAGATGGAGGCGGCACCGACCTTTTGCACCCACGAGACGGAACTGATGGTATCGTTCGAGTCAGCGAGATCGCACAGCTTCGACACAGCTGCATTATGCGCTGTCCACAGATACACGCACGAGCCCAAGCCCACCCCCAATACATTTGTACTCGACCAGTCGACGAGATTGAGATAGAAATCGTCTGCGAGGTCCGGTGCATCGAGAACTCGGTATGGCGTCTTGCAGACGCTGCGTAGCTGGCGCCGTGGACTTTCAAGGAGGTGACGGCTTTCTGCTCGGACGGGACTCATGGAGTAGGCCTCGTCGGTCGGGGTGTCGAGGCGCCGGGTCGGCGTACCGGGATTGGAGGCAGGTGAATGGTATGCGAAAAGGCGACGGCGGGTAGGTGTAGATGGGGGGACTGTAGAGCCTGACGCGATGGGAGCAGGACGCGTGGGTGAGATGGGACGGCGTGGCGAGGGCGGCGTCACCTCAGTGTGTAGGATGGAGGAAAAGATAGCATTAGCTTGTTCTGACGGTGAACGGTTGAGCAATAAGTTTGACATGTTAATCAGAAACACAAGCACCTTTGAGAGCATCTGATTCGGATGGTATGATTCGGTTCTTTGAAGGGGTCGACGGACCGCCTTCATCCATGAGATGGAAGGACGTGCGCATATCGCCCGTATCCCTTGAGGGCACAAAACGGTCGCCATAGTCTCTTGTAACCCTCGGGGTATCAACAGGAGAATCTGGCCCGCCACTGCTGCTGCTGGTATTCGGTCGTGAATCCAAGGACGGCGTCGATGCCGGTGCCACTCCAAAGATAGGGTTAATGCGAGGGCGATTTCGCCTCGGCGCTTCATCGTCGTGGTCCTGCTGTGCTGCTCGAAGACGTTTGCCGAACGGCGAGTTCTTGAGCCCAGACATGGCTGGTGGGTCTTTGTGGTTGGACCAGTGGTTTGGTGGTTGCGGTCGTCGATGGGCTGGTTACACGAGTAGGAGGCGCCTATAGAATACCTAAGCAAATTTTGGTAACCAGGTTAGTTATATTGCAGCATAGAGAGCGAACAAAAGAGTGAGGGGGAGGAGGAGGAGGAAGATGGTCGCGGTTCAAAATTAACCCTCGGTTAGGGTTAGAATTTGGCGACGCGTCGCCCTCGTGCCACCGTGCGAGAAAATCATGATATCGCTGACTCATCCGAGCTTCTGTCAATCACCCTGACAGACTGACTCTGGCAAACTCCAAACCACTACATATGTGGCCTGGCCCTCAGTATGTATCTAAGTATAACGAAAATGGATCACATCGGTGCAACTTGCAAGCATGAGCTGGTCTGACCAAAAAAAGTCAAATAACGCACACATATGGACACACCCGGAATTGAACCGGGGACCGCCCGCAGACGCGGAATGCTAAGCGGGCGTGATAACCAACTACACCATGTGCCCATATCAAACTATCACAATGTCGAACTCAGAAGGTAATAGCCACCGCGTGCAAGCCGTGACATCAATTCCATGATAGAACCTTGACCACTACCCACTACCATGTCGCTCTCCTCCCCCGACTCCCTCTTCATGTGCGTAGCAGTAGCGCACGAAACACCCGGGAAAAGCTTTGAGGTTCCATTTCTACTCGATCCTCCCCCGCGACCCATCACTAACGCGTCTCGCCCGCCACAGGAACTCCGCATAGACGACTACCTCCACTTCTACACCACCACCGGCCGCCCACCGCCGCCCTGCCCCCAGGAACCCACAGACGATGCACAGCGTGAGCGCCTAGGCCTCCCCGCGCTCTTCAAGCGCTACTCTGAACGTTCCATCACCTCGTCCGCCTCAACCTCTACCACGCCCACAAGCCCCGCCGACCTCCCTGACGCCCAAAACTTCTATACCACCATGCATGAGGGCGAGACTCTTCACTCCATGTCCGCGATCCCGGCGTACAAGACCTTCAGCCACGAGGTGCGTTCCTACCGTTTACCGCGTATCCCGTGCCACTGGGCGCCTAACTCCCTCCATCGTAAAGGAGCTACGCTACTACGCGTACGTGAAAGGCCATAAGAATTCGCCCACGCCCGTAACGACAGCACCTTTCGTCGTCGCGCCGGTCTCCTCAAGCTCGCCGTCCGTGATGGGCACGCGTCCGACTTTCGACTCGCTCCCACCGAGCGGGGAGCAGATGATGGCTATGTCTGCGCAGGCAGAATACGCCGGACACAGCCTCGAGGTGAGTCTCCCCCTCCCATTCCGCGTCCAAGCGAACTAACAACCTACATCACCACCTCCCCTCCCCTCTCCTCTCCTTCCCCTCCCCTCCCCTCCAATCTCGTATATCGCCCCATCGAATCACGCACGCAGGAACTCCGCATCGCATACATGCAAGCCGGGCGCGAAATCAACTCCGCCGAGATCCTCGCTCGCGTCCCACGGCCTCCCGCCATCTCACCTAGCATCAGCACCGGCGGTGGTCCCTTCTCCCGCTCCCCGGCCGTACGGCTCTTCTAGCCCGTTCCGATTTGGCATGAGTACCTCCTGTTCCGCGTACTTCCTATGGAAACAGCGGGTCCGGCGAAGTCATCTCAACGAGGTGCGCGCGTGTAGTCAGTAAACAGGATCAGGAATAGGGAGGGACACTGCCGTCGACGCACCAGTGCGCCACACCCACCACTTGAAGGGAGACATGACTCTCGGAAGCGGTGGGCTAGGCTTAGCGGTGTTGGCGCGGAGGGCATCGGCGTCATGGCGATGTTGTGTGTATAGTCGTGTAAACCCGGGTCCCTTCATATAAAGGAGTAGGGGGGAGGGAGCTTGGAACTTGTGTGTTGCTATCACGTTGTTGTATTGGTTGCTCAGTTTGTAATTTATTAGATACCCGGCCTCTGAATCGGCCTTTTCGCATTTATCTATGTGCTCGATCCGATGGTAGACCGCTTGTGGCTAAGGACTGCCTTTTGACGACGATTTGGGGTAAATGTGCATGTATGTAGGCGAGTGCAATATGACGCAGTGCACGAGCCTATGAAGGGAATTGAACCGAGAACCGCTGCATCCAATGCCAAGTACGATGAAAGCTATAGCAAACGATCGTCCTCAACAAAATCTCTTCACGAAGACAGCACTTCTCTAGATAACGAACAATCACGTACGGTCCGACTCACCTTGAGCACCTCTTGCTAGACTAGCTAGACTGTCAGCGAACACCGAGAAAACACGACGCAGAAGAGAAATAATATAAGGATAGGTACTTCAAACCTCCTCAAACACAAGGAAGCGCCGCTATGCAGCCGTAATGCAGGTTACATGTTACGATAGCACCGCGATCATTTGAAGTCAGGACCGTCTGTCGAATACTATTCGATGCGCGGGGCTTTTCGCAAGACAGTCACGAATCGTGGCGCGAACTCCAAAGCTGTCCAAAGCTGTCTTGCGAATCGTGGCGCGAACTCCAAAGTCCTGGATGGAGACTCGTCACTCGAGGCTTCCGGGTTCCTGCTTGACTCTTGAGAATCGCGATAGGAAGAGCCTCAAGAGTCAAACATATGCTCCTGATTAGCAACGGCAACAAAAAGAAGGGAGTATCCTGCTACAAATTATGGACACACCCGGAATTGAACCGGGGACCGCCCGCAGACGCGGAATGCTAAGCGGGCGTGATAACCAACTACACCATGTGCCCATGTCTCCAAGCAGAGCGACAGTGCAAAATATTTGTTTGTTTGCCTGATGAGTCCCGCGACGCCACATCCCAGGCAGGCTCTGCAGCGCATGAAAGTTTTGCGCCATCTTGTAGAAGCATCCATAAAAGAGCAACTCTGAAGGATAATTGGGACACTTCTTGTAAGGATTCATAAAAAGTATGCGGTGCCATAGTTATTGGACACACCCGGAATTGAACCGAGGACCACCCGCAGCTGAGCAGTTCAAATCAGGTCGAATGCAAAGCGGGCGTGATAACCAACTACACCATGTGCCCGTGCAAGCTCAATGAACTAATACGATTCAGCTAAGTATCGAGAAGCGAAGCCATGTAATGCGGGCCCGATCCTCTGCGAGTCCTGGGTCCATTTGAAGTCCAAAGTACCAAGCTAAGACCTAAGGACGCACATCCCCGTAAACCAGATATATTGGCAGGGTATGCAAGTAGAGCAGCAGTTGCAGTTATCAGAAATCTAAAATCGAATGTTACATGATGTCTCAGTGTATGCGAGCCGCAAGCCCATCCACAAGAGACGCGCACTATGACTTGTGCGCCACAATGAGTACTCATACAGTCCAAGAGATACAACATACAAAACCCGCTCAATCTTCATCCTCCTCCTCCTCCTCCGCTTCACTATCCTCATCGATATCTCTGTCCTCCACTTCGAGCAGAAGCCGCGAATCAGGTAGCACCCCACACTCCTCCATCGTCTCATCCGGGTTGCAAAAGTACATCGTTTCCGTTCCGTCGTCTTCCTCGACGACCAAGATTAATCCAGAACTGTACGAAGGCATGGTAAGCGAACAGGAAAAAAGGTCGGAACCGCAATATGGCCATTTGGAGCAGCAAGACCGCGGGTGGAGGAGATCGATGCGACGCATGAAGTGCGGGACTACGAACAAGAACGGCTGGGTAGGCGTACGTACCGGTCATAGTCCACCTCGAAGGTCTTGCACGCACTCGCAAGCACTTTGCGCACCAAGTACTTGCCGCGCGTCTTGAATTCGACTGACGACTCCTCACCGTGGAAGCAGTGGATCACGATATTGAAGCGCCCGTCATCCTGCGCTTTGTTATTGATGGTCGTTGCGCCTGTTGGGAGATGCAAGAAGGTAAAGTGAAAAGGAACAGAGGATGCGTTATGGTGTCTCCATACCTGAGAGGGAGGGACGTGAAGAGGCACCAGGAAGCTGTGCTACATCGATAGCCGATACTGTGCGCATACCGTCGTCAGCATCGCCTTGAGAGGCCACAAACAAGAGGCGAACAACGTACACCGAGTGCGTAGTGATTCTGCCTTGGATCTCGCTTTCCCGTGGGTCTTCGCTTCCGCTTCCGCTTCCGCTTCCGCTTCCGCTTCCCTATTCTTACTCTTCGCTGTGGATGTTGAGGCTGATCCTGATGTGAGGTCCTTAGCTCCAAAGCGCCAGAAATCGCCATCCTGGTCTGTCCTACCCGCCTTGCTGCCCGCGCCCTCGACAAGGCTCTCGACTTTAAGTCGTATCTTCTCGAAGAATCTATCTTGGAACTCATCCTGAGGCTCAAATGATGGCTCCTCTATCGGCTGAGGCTCTGGCTCTGGCTTGCGCTCGGGTTTGCGAGCTTTAGATGCAGGAGGAGCCATATGTACAGCTGGCGCAGGGTCTTGGTACTTAGACGGATTGGTCTGGGATCTTGACATCGATCGCGACGGCACCGTCGTTGTTGGTGGTGCTGGCGGCGCGTCCTGCGGCTCTGTTTCGACTTGAGCGACGACGTGTACATGCTCCCCGCGAGCTATAAGCTCTTGTGCCTTATTCCTGTACGTGGAGCTCTCACCAGCGTCAATTTGACGCGTCTTTCCCAGCCGTTTCGCCGTCAAAGCTGGTGCGGGATCATCGTCCCGGACCTCGCTGGTAGCGCCAATATCCTCCATTGGGGTCGCAGCTCTCTCCTCTACTCCTTCCACCTCAAGAATGACATTCACTTCGTCCAGAAAATTCGCCATGGTCGCGTACGCGCTCTCATCGATCTCCACCAGGTGTCCACGGCATACATCAAGCGTCATCGTCCGAAAGATCGGCCTCGCGCCAGGAAGAAATTTGAAGGTATGACGCGTCGTAGATATCAAATCCTGCATGTACGTGTGAATGGATTTGGTTTATGTGTTTGACTGGGCTTACTACATAACGTGTTGGTCGCGCGACGAACTTCCTCGATATTATCCTGTTGTCAGAGTCGGACAAGGTTAGAATGATGATAGGAACATCGCTTGTAGATTTTGTGAGAGGGTTGATGATTGAGGCGATATGCATTTGCAGGTTATTCTTGATAGTTGCAGAGGACAATCTAGTCAAGAACGTTGAAGTTCTGCCACAACTTGTTCACGTTCTTTTCCTCGAGGCGAGTCACGGGACCACGTTCAGGAAGTGCCGCGGCGCTGAAATTGAAAAAGAAGACTTCCCCGAGGACCGCTTCCTTATCAAACACATCGAACACATCATATTCACTCATTCCTCGTTGCTTGAAAGACGCTTTCAAACATCTTTGGAACACTTTTCGTGACGTTCATATCAATTTCTGAAGGTATCCCGGTTCTTCTTCAGTTTGGTTTCCCTTTCAGTATACCAGCTCAAGGTTCGCTGCACCAATTTCAAGTTGACTGTGTGCACCGACGTTACAAGTAAGCGCGTACATCCTACGACTCAAGGGCATCCTTGGCGCTTTCCATCACACTCCGATCTTGCCATCGTACACTCATCGGAACGCATCGCCTCTGCTAGCATCATAAACGAAGACAAACGCCTAGCTCTCCTAGTACAACCCTCTTCTCGCTCTCATGACGACACCATGTATTCCCCAACTCTCTTTCCCCCAGGAAATCATTGAAACCATTATCGACGAGCTTGCCGGGGATAACAGGACCTTGCTGAAGTGCAGTCTCGTGTCTTCGTCGTTTCGGGAGCCATCTCAGAGAACGCTTTTCCGTTCATTACGCATCCACCTCCATCTCGACTACAAAACGAGGAACTCGAACCTTCATCGTATGCTCGAAACCAATCAATCCATTTCTTCCTCCGTCACGTCGATGTGCTTCTATTTTTACGATGATTCTGATGAGCCAGAATTCTCAGGAGAAGTGAACTCGATGGGTTTCTTTGGGGCCCCCCTGACGCTACCCAGGGTGCAAGCCCTCACATTGGACGCTCTTTCTAGTGGCATTGACTGGTCAGAACTCACGATCCCGCTCCAGACAGATCTCATACACCTCATGCGCTCACCCATGCTTGTACGTCTTTCTATAATAGAGATAGGTGTACCCTTGGACTTGTTACGCACGGTCGTGCAGTTGAAGTGCCTAGAGATTCGAAACTCGGACTACACCCTCCAGGATTACCCTCCCTCAGAAATGCCTCATCCGATTCAACTGTCTAGTGACCCTGGGTACCTTGACGTTCTTATCCTTCTCGACGAAATACCGTACATTCAGGATCACGCCTCTCATCTTTCTTTAACACGCTTGCGCGGCTTCTCGGGTATAATAGAACGCCAAGATGACCTCGGATCTTATCAGGAGATACTCAATCTGTCTGCATCCACGTTGGAGTCACTATCTTTACTCATGGGAGGAAACTATAGTGAGTTCAGCTTACCACTTGCAGTCCAATCACCCTAAAATTGCTCTTGGTAAACAGCAGGTCCGATTCCAGAACATCCCGATTTCCGATCTCTTCTACACCTTGAATGGCTAGAAATCGACATCAGCGTGGGTCGTTCGTCGAATTTTTTGGAATTCGCCTGGTTGGCCCGTGCTCTCGGGACCATTCCCCCGACGAACAGCATTCGGACCATCATCATCCGGGTCCGTGACTATGCCTTAGAGAATTGGGGGCAGATCGACGAAGTCTTAACCCGAGAGCCTCATTCCTTGCCATTACAACGTGTTTTCGTTTCCCTTCCCTCATACCAATTCTTTCTACTTCCCCGGCTGTTTTCCAAAGGTATCCTCTTCGAAGATCGGCGACTCTCAGGCCAAACGAGATAGTGAAGAAACGCCAGGGTGGCCCTATGCACACCCATTCGCTTAGTTATCGGACATAGGTTGCGTTAATACCACGTCAGGTTTTACTTTCGTCTGTCAGTGCGAGAGACATTTGAGGGCAGCCTTGCCAGCATGGGACCATGTGGTTGTTCCATGTCCCGACCTGGGTTAAGTAAGGTAAGGTAAGGTACCTTGGACCTTTCCGGACTAGCGACGCAAAATAGGCGCACTGATCGTCGGACACCAAGAAGTCTTTTACGACGCTCTTCTCTACAGGCATTTGCTAAAGTGCCATGGTCCAAGTGACAGGCCCTGCTGAGTTCCTTTCAATGGGTAGGACACGAGACTACTTCTGGTATCATGCGCCTTATGCCCGGAATGGGTGCTCGACATGCGAGGACTGCAAACGAAATTTCGGCGCGACATCTATGTCGCTACGCAGCGACTTCCGGTTGCATCTGGTCTTTACTTTGTCTTTACTATATGTGCTACGAGTTAAAGGACGTGTCGGGCATGGCGACCCGGATCCTGTGGGATCCAGATCCATCAGGAAAACCTTACATGCTGAAATGGACCAAATTGTGAAAAATGACCGAAGCGGAGTCTTCTGGCAGGAATTCAAGAAATTGTGCTCACGAAGGCTCACTGAGGCTAATTCGCAAGACACCCGTTAAAATTGATGTCTATTTTGGCTAATTTCCGGTCATTCTACACGGTTGAGTAATAAATAGTTGAGCCTTTTCAAGATGTGTGCATTTGAAAACCGTTGTATCTAATAGTCGTTATCGCGCCACGACGATACATTCAGGCGTTGACAGTAGGTGCTCCACCGAAAATCGTGTCTGTTCATGTCATCATTGGCATTAGGGATTCTGTGGTATCAATTATTGACTTAACGCTTGAACACTTGCACAGTAGACGGTTGCATAGATCGGGGCGGTCGGAGTGTTCGATGGATATTCTTGGGCTATGGTGGTGCTGGTGCTAGCGTGTATTTGCGAAGACCGTGAGAGTAGAAACTCTGCCTCCAAGGTCGAATAACGTGAGGCCGGCTCAAGTGCGCAAGTCGTTCAGACTCCGACTGCACTCCGACGGACCGACTTGAAGAAAGTTCAACATTGCCCCGACAACAACAAACAATGACCCGTCCACTCCCACCACATCCCCCTCTCTTCGAATGATGTTTCTCTGCCGTGTTCAGCCCGTTACAGTTGCGCACTGACTGTGCACAGCTAAGTATATGGCAAGTCAA